TTTTATTGATTTTGTTTTTGTTTTTTTAGTCTCTATTTCATTTATTTCTGCTCTGGCCTTTATTATTTCCTTCCTTCCACTTACTTTGGGCTTTGTTCCTTTTCTGGTTCCTTTAGGTATAGGGTTAGATTGTTTATTTGAGATTTTTCTTATTTCCTGAGGTAGGTCTGTATTGCTATAAATTTTCCTCTTAGAACCACTTTTGTTGCATCCCAAATATTTTGGGCCATTATGTTTTCATGTTCATTTGTCTCCATGTATTTTTTTATTTCCTATTTGATTTCTTCATTGACCCATTGGTTATTTAGTAGTATGTTTAGCCTCTAAAAAAAAAAAAAAGAATATAGATAGAAAAAATAAAGTATAGTAAGATAATTGAATTAATAGATCTTTGAAAAGATCAGCTAAATTGACAAACCTTAGCTAGACTGATGGAAAAAAGGAAGATTCAAATAAAATCAGAAAGTGGGGACATTACTGCTGACCTTACAGAAATCAAAAGAATGATAAGAGAGTACTATGAACAGTCATATGCCAACAAAGTAGATAACCTAAATGAGTGTACAGATTCCTAGAAACACACACATTACCAAAACTGACTCAAGAAAAATTGTAAATCTGAACAGACATATAACAAGAGATTGAATCAGTAATTTAAAAAAAATCTCATCAAAGAAAGGTCCAGTATCAGATGGTTTCACTGATAAATTCTACTAAACATTTATAGAAGAATTAACTAACTTGACAATAAATTATTTTTTTTTTAATTTTTTTTTTTCAACGTTTATTTATTTTTGGGACAGAGAGAGACAGAGCATGAACGGGGGAGGGGCAGAGAGAGAGGGAGACACAGAATCGGAAACAGGCTCCAGACTCTGAGCCATCAGCCCAGAGCCCGACACGGGGCTCGAACTCACGGACCGCGAGATCGTGACCTGGCTGAAGTCGGACGCTTAACCGACTGCGCCACCCAGGCGCCCCCGACAATAAATTATTTTTAAAAAATAATAATAAATGCTAATAACATTATTGGAATCAATTATAAAAAATAATAAAACTTGGTGGCTTAAAAAAATAAAGAAGAATTAACACTAATTCATCTCAAACTCTAACCCCAAAAGAGAAAAGGAGTGAATACTTACTAATTAATTCTGAGTCCAACATTACCCTGATAACAAAGTCAAAGATCCACAAAAAAGGTACAAAGAAGAGAAAAAAGCTGCTTTCTTCACTGACCTCTCCCTCATATCAAATATGCCCAGAGATTGCCAGTATTCTTCGTTCATTTGTGTAGATCCAGATTTCCATCCAGCATAATTTTCCTTCTGCTTAAAGGACTTTTTTTTTTTAACTTTTCTTGTAAGGTGGGTATGCTAGTGATTAATTCTTTCAGCTTTTGTGTCTGAAGAGGTTGTTATTTGCCTTAAAATTTTTAACGATATTTTTGCTAGGTATAGAATTATGTCAGTAGAGTCCACCTCTCTCAGGGATCACTACCCTTCTTTGCCTGATGTTCAGTATCTTGAAAATAATTCCTTTCTATATTTTGTCCATTTCCTGATTGCTTTAGGCAGAAGGGTCAATCTGGTCCCTATTATTTTTTTTTTTTAATTTTTTTTTCAACGTTTTTTATTTATTTTTGGGACAGAGAGAGACAGAGCATGAACGGGGGAGGGGCAGAGAGAGAGGGAGACACAGAATCGGAAACAGGCTCCAGGCTCCAAGCCATCAGCCCAGAGCCTGACGCGGGGCTCGAACCCACGGACCACGAGATCGTTACCTGGCTGAAGTCAGACGCTTAACCGACTGCGCCACCCAGGCGCCCCATGGTCCCTATTATTTAATCTTGACTGGAAACAGAAGAATTCCCATTTAATTTTAATTAATTTTAATTTACATAGCCACATTTGGCTAGTGACTCCTATATTAGATAGCACAGTTAGCAATTGGCAGGATTACTGAGATTGAGTTTTTAAATTGCAAATGTTAACTTCAAATACGCATATATTTTAAAATATCAGCTCTGATAGAGGCAGTCTCATATACATTATACATTAGAATTGTTCAAGCTCATTTCGGGTACAGTTCCTGTCTCCAAACTCTGTGTTATCACATTTTTTTGAATGTAAATAGATTCAAAATAAACAGTGTTGTAAAAATGAATTGTAAGGATGAAGAAACAAAAGTTGAGTTTTCAGTTTTGTCATTCTAATTGCCATTTGGAATTTGTGTGTGTGTGTTTTGTTTTTCCACAAAGAGAGAGAGGTGGGCGAGGGGCAGAGGGAGGGAGAGAATCCCAAGCATGCTCCACACTCAGCACAGAGCCCAACATAGGGCTCGATCCCATGACCAACTGAATCATCCAGGTGCCCCTGGAACTTTTGTTTTTAAAGCATAAAATAGTGGGGCACCTGTGTGGCTCAGTTTGTTGAGTGTCCAATTCTTGATTTCAGCTCAGGACATGAACTCACAGTTCATGGGTTCAAGCTCTGTGTGGGGCTCAGCACTGAGAGCATGGAGCCTGCTTGGGATTCTCTCCTCTCTCCCCCTCCTCTGCTTTTCCTCTCTCTCAAAATAAATAAACATTTTTTAATAATATAAAGTGTAAAATAGTAAACTGGTGCAGACTGAAAGGTGAAATATTTTTGTTTGCCAAGTGCAAGCAATAGTACAAAAAGACATATTTTACCAAATTTGAATAATATCTTTAAAGTTTATTTCTTCTGAAACAGAGACAGAGAGAGAGCCGAGGAGGGACAGAGAGTGAGCGAGAGAGGATCTCAAGCAGGCTCTGCACTGCCAGCACAGAGCTGGAAGCGGTGCTCAAACTTACCAACTGTGAGATCATGACCTGAGCCAAAATCAAGAGTTGGACACTTAATGGACTGACCCACCTAGGAGCCCTGAATAATATCTTTGAAATTAAATTTATTCTGGGGCTCCTGTGTGGCTCAGTCAATTGAGCATCTGACTCTAGATTTCAGCTCATGTCATGATCCCCGGGTCATGGGTTCAAGCCCTGCGTCAGGCTCTGTGGTAAACATGGAGCCTATTAAAAAATAAACACATAAATAAATTTTTTTAAAAATAAAATGAAGGGTGTTTGGTGGCTCAGGCAGATAGATGTCCGACTTTGGCTCAGGTCATCATCTTGTGTTCTGTGAGTTCGAGCCCTGCATCACGCTTTGTGCTGACAGCTCAGAGCCTGGAGCCTGCTTCAGATTCTGTCTCTCCCTCTCTCTCTGACCCTCCCTGCTTGAGTGTGTGTGTGCGTGTGCACACTCTCTTTTTCTGTCTCTCAGAAATAATAAATGAATAAGCTTTAAAAATAAATAAAATGAAATTCATTCTTATTGTCGATGTATTTAACTGCTATTAAATGGCAATATTATTTATTACTATTACAGGTATAAGTATAACTTTTTCCTTTTTCATTAAATAAATTAACGTACTCAAAAATATTTATTTTTTTCCTTTACTTTGCAGTATTTTTACTCTTATTTTTTTTGTAAGCATGGTTTTATGTATGAATTTCAGTGAAAGAAAATGTTTACTGTTTACATTTTTCTGCATAATTTATTGTTCATTTTTTCATGATTTTCACTGAAAATAATTTTATTGTGTAGGGGGTAGTGTTTAAAAAGTATCTGTTCTATGTGTCAAATGTACTAGGCTTGCCATTTAATAGACAAACAATTTTTTGCAACTCCTATTCCAGACAAAGTGCTGGTTTCTTTAACATATAGAGTTCCTATAGAAAAACAAACAAGAAAAAAACCCAGTATACATCAGGAAAATATATGGTTAGTGCAAGAAGAAAGAAATAAAAACCTCTCAAGTTTGAGCATATTGAAAGATGTTCAGTCTCACTGAGGGAAAAAATGCAAATAAAACTGTACTCTGATAACATTTTTCTGTACCAAATTGGCAAAGATAAAAGTTTAGTAAGGTATATGTATGTAATCAAGATTATGGATAATAGACACTGTCATATATTAATGGTGGGAATGCAAATGACAACCTGTATAGAGAGAAATTAGGCAATACCTTCCAAAATTAAGACTGCTGAGGCACCTGGGTGGCGCAGCCAGTTAGGCTTCTGACTTTGGCTCAGGTCATGATCTCTCAGTTTGTGAGTCTGAGCCCTGCATCAGGCCAGCTCTGTGCTGACAGCTCAGCGCCTGGAGCCTGCTTTGGATTCTGAGTCTCCCTCTCTCTTTGTCCCTCCCCCACTCATTCTCTCTCTCTCTCTCTCTCTCTCTCTCTCTCTCTCTCTCTCAAAAATAAATAAACATTAAAAAAATTAAAACATTAAAAAGACTTTTTTTAATTGATTCAGCAATTTCACTCCCAGGTAACTATCGACAGATATACTTAGTATATGTGGGAAATAATGTGTATCATATAAAGATTATTACCACATTGGTTATAATAACAAAACATTAGAAACCATCTGTATTCCCTTCCAGGGGCTACTTACAAGGCCACTGGTTACAAATTACATTGGTATTAGGGGACAGAGTTAGAAAGTAAAATATGGGCTCATGTGTGGAAAGATTCACAAAGAACTTTTTTAAGTTTATTTATTTTGAGAGATACAGAGATAGCATGAATAGGGGAGGGGCAGAGAGAGAGAAGGAGAGAGAGAATCCCAGGTAGGCTCTGCACTGTCAGCACAGAGCCCAATGGGGGTGGGGTGGGGGCTTGAACTCAGGAAATCCCAAGATCATGACCTGAGCAAAAACCCAGAGTTGGACGATTAACCAACTGAGCCACCCAGGTGCCCCACGAAGACCTATTAAATGAATGACTCTGAGGTGGGCCTGGGTAGGTTGAATGGATAAGGGAGAAAAGGAAACATACGTTTTACAGGCACTCTTTTGAACCTTTTTGTAATATTCATTTGTGCTTCCTATCTTTAAAAAATTAATTAAAAATGAAAACAACAGGAGACTCAGCGGACTGCAGAGAGCTGAGCAGACACTACCTCTCCGCTAAAAATGATGTGGCCCCGGCGTCATCGCGGGGCGGGTAACCTGGCGAGGGCGGGCGGGACAGCTCCAGAGAGCGGAGCGGAGGCCGGGTTTCTCCGAAGACCTGGCCCTGAGGATCCCTCACCGCGAGGAAGGACCATTGCTATGGAAACCAGAGCGTGGGGCGGCCCGGGATTGTGGCTCCCGGATGGTGGTGACCGGTCTTCTCTCTCCCCGAGACACTCGCCCGCTTCGGGCAAGGTTGCTTCCTGAACGAACCTGCTCTCTCGCCCACGAGAGAAAGTTTCCCATGGCACAGCCTAGCAGAAAGATGCAGCCTTTGTGCTTCACTGGCCGCTGACCCGTTGGCCTGATGACAGCACCCCGCGTACCTTTCCGGTTCGGTTCCGGCAGCCATCGGTCAGCGGCCTCTCACAGATCACCAGCAGCCTATACATCAGCAATGGGGCGGCTGCCAACAACAAGCTCATGCTCTCCAGCAACCGGATCACCACGGTCATCAATGTCTCGGTAGAAGTGGTGAACACTTTATACGAGGACATCCAGTATGTACAGGTGCCAGTGGCTGACACACCCATCTCACGTCTCTGTGACTTCTTTGACCCCATTGCTGACCACATCCACAGTGTGGAGATGAAGCAGGGCCGCACACTGCTGCACTGCGCTGCTGGCGTGAGCCGCTCAGCTGCCCTCTGCCTTGCCTACCTCATGAAGTACCATGCCATGTCCCTGCTGGACGCCCACACGTGGACCAAGTCATGCCGGCCCATCATCCGGCCCAACAATGGCTTTTGGGAGCAGCTCATCCACTATGAGTTCCAGCTCTTTGGCAAGAACTCCGTGCACATGGTCAGCTCCCCTATGGGAGTAATCCCTGACATCTACGAGAAGGAGGTCCATTTGATGATTCCACTGTGAGCCGTCTCACCAGCCTCTGTGCCCAGGTCAAAGGTGCAGATCTGCTGTTGACCGAGATCTGAACTTAAACGTTCTACTGTTGTTACAGAAAAAACAGATGATGCCTTTTATAAGGATCAGAAAAAAAAGGAAAGGTGCTGTAGTTTTTAACCTTATTATCCATATCTTCAAAGATTAAATTCACTAACTGTACGATGGTGCAGGTAAGTTTCCTACCCTGTGAGTGACAGGTCATGGCTGCTGGCCAGATGGGAGAGAGAGGCAAGTGCCCAGGTCAAATGGACCAGTGCCTAAAGCATATGGCAAGCTTGGAACCCTGCTGCTCTCCCACAGACCGACCAACCCACAAACAAGTCAGCCACCATTCCACTTCACTCTTTCAAACCCAAAGCCAGAGCCTTAAGCATCATGGCGCCTCCTGTGCCACTCACAGTCAGTGCCAACCTACTAGATAAGTGGCCTTCAGGTGGTGCTCTGGGAGCCCTGGGGGCCCAGGCCAACCCTGCTTCTACCTTCAGCCACAGGGACCCAACTCTGGTTTTCTGGATTGGATTTACACATGACATAGTTTTCAAAGAAAGCATTCCATTGTATAAAACTAAAAAAAAATTTTTTTTTTAGTGCTATTGTAGGTGGCAAGGTCTCAAAGTACCCATGGCAGTCCCCCGCCGGCCTTTGATGGTGGCATTAGTTTCCTTCTTAGAGGCACACTTGGAGAGCAGGCCTGACATCAGGCTTCAGGGGTTCCTCTCACAGGTCTTGATTTGGAAGGCCAGAGCTGCAGACTGGAACCTAGCCTTGTCACCTCCTCCCTATATGATTTGGGACCTCTTGGAGCCTCAGCTTTCTCATCTGTCCAAGCAATTACAGCCCTTTTCTCCCAGCATTGTCATGAAGATTCAGCAATTCCTTAACTTGGTGCCTGACACATGGTCAGGGCTTATGGTAGCAACTCTAGACATGAATGATGCTTTGGCCCTGCTGGTCCCGGTTATCGCGGTCATCCTCACAATGGCATTTCCCCTATCTTTGCACAACCCTTTACTGTTTACAAAATGTTCTTCCAAAAAGTCCTCCTGTGTGAAAAAAAAAAAATGGTTTAAGTCCCTTCACACCCTACTTTAGAAGAGGCCTAGCTTCTTAGCCTTTTCAGAGTTCCCATTGCATTTAATCCATGTGTGCCCTGGGGGTCCTAAAGCAAGGAGCACTCTTCCAGATTCCCCACAAAGGCCTTGTTTAGATTGCTTACCACTAAAGCCAGTGCCCTGGTCTGGCTAACCACCTGGGTCTATGAGGGCACATGCCAAAAGGACAAATGAGTGGGCCCAACCTATAGACCCTGAAATCCAAGATGGTTCAAACCTCCCAAGGACCTGAGGATCTGACTCAAGACCAGCGATTCTAATCCAGAGGTTTTCAAATGAACAATATAGGAGACAGACAAAAGCACAACTTCTCTGTGGGTCCGCCAGTGGAAGCCAAATGCCTTCTTCCAAACCAACCCCACCCCAACTTCCATGACGGGCTTGCCCAAGGGTACAATTTTAGAGTGTGGGGAAGAAGGAAAATCACTGCTGTAGACTGACTTCTTGTTTTACAGGTGAATAAACAGACCCACAAACACCAGGCCTGGTGTGGCAGAGCCCGCACACAGCAGACTTTCTGGAAGAAACCCAGGTGGAAAATTTCTTCTATAGCCTTTTTAAAAAGAATTTGATTGGGACATGTTTTATCTTCATTTTTAAAAAACTTTGAATTAATATACCATAAAATCAACTTTTTTGTATGTGCAGTTCTGTTTTAACACATTTGTGTAACTACCTCTGCAGTTAGAACACAGCAGTTCCATCACCCAAAAAATTCTCTGATGCCACCTCTTTGTTGTCAAACCTTTGCTCCACCCAAGCCTCTGGCACACACCAATCTGTTCTCCATTCCTGAAGATTTCCTGTTCTGGAATGTCACATCCATAGCATCATACAGGATGTAATCTCTGGAGACTGGCTTCTTTCAGTATGTCTTTGAGATTCATTCAGGTTGTTTTTCATAGCTAAGTAGTGTTCCAATGTGCAGATGTACCACAGTTTGTTTTAACTTTCACCCATTGAAGGATATTTGGGTTGTTTCCAGTTTGGGGTGATTTTAATAAAACTGCTACAAATGTTAAAAAAAAAAATGAAAACAACATTTCAGCCGTCTTACCTTCATAATAAAAAACAAGACCAAGAAACAAGGCCAATGATTTTTTTTAATTTCTGAGGCAAAAATAATGGAATTGACCCCAAGTAATATTTCCAATTTTTTAAGGAGAATAGGGTATAAGTGCCCAGCGTACCTGCACACATCATGTAACCATTTTCCTACCATTTCCAATAACATCCAATGGCCATGAAAAAATGTTCCACATCACCCATCAGGGAAATACAAATCAAAACCACAATGAGATACCACCTCACACCTGTCAGAATGGCTAACGTTAACTCAGGCAACAGCAGATGTTGGCAAGGATGCGGAGAAAGAGGATCTCTTTTCACTGCTGGTGGGAATGCACACTGGTGCAGCCACTCTGGAAAACAGTATGGAAGTTCCTCAAAAAATTAAAAATAGAACTACCCTACGACCCAGCAATTGCACTACTAGGTATTTATCCAAGGGATACAGGTATGGTGTTTCGAAGGGACACATGCATCCCAATGTTTATAGCAGCACTATCAACAATAGCCAAAGTATGGAAAGAGCCCAAATGTCCATTGGTGGATGAATGGATAAAGAAGATGTGGTATACATATACAATGGAGTATTACTCAGCAATCAAAAAGAATGAAATCTTGCCATTTGCAACTACATGGATGGAACTGGAGGGTATTATGCTAAGCAAAATTAGTCAGTCAGAGTAAGACAAATATCATATGACTTCACTCATATGAGGACATTAAGACACAGAGCAGATGAACACAAGGGAAGGGAAGCAAAAATAATATAAAAACAGGGAGGGGGACAAAAACATAAGAGACTCTTAAATATGGAGAACAGAGGGTTACTGGAGGGGTTTTGGGAGGGGGGATGGGCTAAATGGGTACGGGGTATTAAGGAATCTACCCATGGAATCATTGTGGCACCATATGCTAACTAACTTGGATGTAAATTTAAAAACTTTAATAAAAAAACAAATAAGAACAAAAAATAATAAAATTCAAATTCTTTATGTGAATTAAACAATTCATCATTATTTATAAATAGAGAAACATTACTTTTTTATCTGTATAGAATGGCTATAGTTAAGGATCTGGTTGTTGGGTATCAGAGCATGGCTTTGTATCAGAAACAAGTATGATACAAGATCCAAGGAGAGAAAACAATTGTAGGAAAAAAATTGCTAGTGGAAAGCACGATGAGAAGGAACTAAAACTATAGGGGTCTTAAAACTCTTCCAGTGGAAAGACTTCTCATATATTTGATAATTTCAGGATATAAGCTGTTTATTTACTTCTGGAAGAAAGACAAAATTCTATATTGTTTACTGTTTTTGAAACTTTTCCATTTTTAACCTCAATGCTTTCCAGGAAAATGATTATTGTACCAGTTACTTAATGCCATAATAATAAAATCACCACAAAATCTCAGTGGCATAAACTTTACTTAGTATGCTAGTCTGCATGTTGGTTGGCAATCAACTGATCTAAGCTGAGCTCAACTAGAGTGGTTCTTCTTTGCTAGTCTGGCCATGTTCTTCTCATAGCTATGGCAAAGAAGCAAAAGACAAACCCAACCGGACAAAAAGTTTCCAATCTGTTGTAACACATCTGCTGACTTCCTGTTAAACAAAAGCAAGTTACTCTGGGCCAGACCCAGAGTCTAGAGTTAGGAAAATACACCCTGCCCCCAGTGAGAAGCACGACAAAGGACTTGGGTGAAGGGAGGTTAGAACTGGGGCCACTTGCAATCTACTACAATTACCATCATATTTGCATTTGTATAAGGTCTTAAATGTTTGTGTTTTCCCTGGTATTTATTTTTATTGGATCCTTAGAACAGCTCTGTGGGGATATTTTTATTTTCCACATTTTATAGAAGAGCAGAATCAGAAAGGTAAAGTCACTTATCTAAGCACACACAGCTACTTAAGCAGTAGAAGGGGGAAGTGGTGGCCTTTTCTGTGCTTTGGTCATAGTTGATCATTCTTTTTTTTTGTTTGTAGGATACAGATGAAAATCAAGAACAATGGACAAAGAAACCACAGGTAAAGCTATACAGCTGTATACTGGGGTGAATAGGAGATTGTTTCTTGTTTTCTAACTACCAATCTTCTGTCTCAAATTGTTTCATTGTAGTCCTGCCTAGAATAAAAAGACAAAATTTACATCAAAATAATTGCATCATTACAAATACCAAGGAAAGGGCCAAAAGAAAACAAAACAAAAACAAACCCATAGACACAAAAAAGCAACAGTAACTGAAGGAGTTGAGTCATGTTTTGAAGATGAATCGGCTAGAGTCATAACTGCTACAAATTGTTGAACATGTGCTTCTAGTATATGTGAATATATTTTATAAATAATAAATACACTGCTCTGTAAATAATGCACCTTAAAACACAATTTTAAGCACATAGATAGTGTTTTAATAACTTTCATCAATCTTTAATGGGATAATGTCATTAAATATACTTTATTATTTTTAAAAATTTTCATTTGATTTAGTGGCATATTAACTGGAAAAAATACTTCACAAAGAGCGACATACAATAAACACATAGGGAGAGGTTCATAATGATACTAGATAGAAATTTATATTTCAAATACTCTTTTTAATTCTACTCATTGGGGGGTAGGGCTGACTTCTTGTCATAGCTAATTAATTTTTCATTGTTTTTAACCCCACGATGTGGCTGATGAACAGCCTCTACTGGGGTTAGAAGTATGACTCTGCTATGTGCTTTTCCATTGGTGTTGAATTTGGGCATTATTTTCAATCCAGCATTCATTTCACTACATGAATCTTTAAGCCATTTGTCCATTATTCCTTTAGCTAAAACTAGATCATATCATCTAGTTTCCTTAAGCACATGTATATGATCCTCTTAGAACAAAAACCCTCTCTTGATTCAATATCCTCTTCCAATTATCTCCCCATTTCTCTTTGCCCCTCTGTATCTAAAGTCTCAAAATTTTGCTGTGCTCAGTTTCTCTTTTCCCATTATTTCTTGAACCCAGTCAGGCTTGAGTTTCCACCATTCCACCAAAATTACATTTTTCAAGGTCACCATTTAACTAGAGAAGCATTAGACACAGCAGCTGATCACTCCTTTCTTCTCTTTGCCTCTGTGCCAGCATTTTCTATTTATTTGTCTTTTACTTCACTGGCCACATCTTCTCATCTCTGTTACTAATTCTTCATTCTCTGCCCAATTTCTAAATATTGGAAGGCTCACACCCTCCAGTGGCTTTATTTTTAATTCAGAGAAAAAGCCAAAGTCTTTACAGTAACTTATAAGGTCCTATGTGATCAGTTATCCATCCCTCCAACTCTCTGACCTCATCTTCTCCTGTTCTCTCTCCAGTCACTTACATCCCTCCAGCCACACCAGTTCTCTAGACCAAGAGCACATCACATTTGCTTCTCCCCTACAGATTTTGCCCTGGCTCGTTCCTCTGACCGTGACATCTCACATCTAGATACTTGCATGGATTGCACACTCACCTTCATATCTCTGCTCCAAGATAAACTTTTCCCCCAAAATAATGGTCCTCCCCCTCAATCTCCCCAATCTGTATTCTTCTTACCCTGCACAACATTTGACACCTTCTGTCATACTGTGTATTTATTCTCTATTCATTTTTGTCTGTCTCCTATTAGAAAGGTAAGCTCTCTGACTTTGTGCAATTCACTCTTGTATCCCCAGGACCTAGAACAGTACCTGGCACATTGTAGTCTCTCAACAAATATTGAATGAATATGTTATGAGTGCAAGCACATGTGCTGATCCATATTTGAATATTAGTAAAGATAAACTTATTTCTTCCTACTTTTTCAATAAAACATAAAAATTAATATAATTTCTATTATTTTACCCACCTGATTATCTTCATACTCCCAGATTATATGTAACTCACTTTGAAAATTATTGGTCAACAGAAGTGGTTCTCAGTCTTTGGGAGCATAAGATTCTTAATGGAGCCTGTTTAACTTTTGTTGTTATCTTAGGCTATCTTTTCTGTTCCCTATTGTGTTTTCCTAATTCCTTGAGTTAAATACTTAACTCCTAAATTTTCAATTTTTCTCATTTTCTAATATAAGCATTTAAGGTACAAATTTCTCTCTAGGTAATGCATCATCTGCATGCCATTAGCCTCAGTGGCATACAATAAAAGTGGTATTTATTGTTCAGTTTGAAATATTTTCAGGTTTTCAGTATAATTCCTCTTTGATGTAGAAGTTTCTTTTTTACTTTAGTAATGAATATATATTTCATTACAAATGAATGGACTCGGTTAAGCATCTGACTTCAGCTCAAGTCATGATCTCAGTTTGTGAGTTCGAGCCCCACATTGGGCTCTGTGCTGACAGCTCAGAGCCTGGAGCCTGCTTGAGATTCTGTGTCTCATTCTCTCTCTACCCCTCCCCCACTCCTGCTCTGTCTCTATCTGTCTCTCAAAAATAAATAAAAATGTAAAAAAAAAATTTTTAAATGAATGGACAAGCTAGAAGAGGGAACACTGCACACCCTGGGGTTTGGGTTTCTATCTTTTATTGATGATTGTTAACAAGGAGATGTAATATTTACTATTTGGGGCAAGGATGTCTTGGAAGCAGGGTTTCGGGTTTTTTATTCCTTATTCAGCCTACTTTGTCAGCCATCTTGGGCCTGTCTGGTTTGATCCGGCTTCTTGTGACTTTGTTCTGAAGTACTGCCTGGACAGGCCTCTTACTTTCCTGATAACTGGGCATGACTTCTTTCTGGCCTCCCGGTACCCTGTTAGAACCTAACTAACTGCCCCTAACATTCTCTCATTCACTTTGGGTGGGGCTTTTTTTGTTTTGTTTTTGTTTTTGTTTTTTTTTAATATTAAATATAATTTATTGTCACATTGGTTTCCATACAACACC